ATGGAACGCCCCCCCCGCCCCCACAAGAACAGTGCCCTTACCAATTCCCATAAGCATCCAGTGGGATACCACAGTCAATGAGATCAATGGCTGCTGAGAGCCCCAATAGGACCAGAAAGGGTCCATCTCCTACTTCCCAATGGAGATCCTCCACCACAGTCACCAATGCCATTTCAGTCTCATGCTCATGTCTGAATCCAGACTGAAAAGGATCCAGGTAATCTGCTTCATCTAGGATCCTCTCCAGCTGAGCCATTCCCATCTTCTCTACAATTTTCCCTAGAAATGCTACCACTTCTCCCCACAGGGAGCTGATTATCCTGATCTGAGGGGTGGGTGATAATCTGCAGGTCTGCCTTTGGATGGAGAAGGGAGCCTGCTTTGCCACCTCTGTCTCCTGTATGGGCCTGAAGATGGACTTATACTTGTGATAAGTCAAATTCATTCCTTGTGTATGGGTGGGGTGGGGTGTTGCCACTGTCACTCTAGGCATCTGCTCATGTGCTTCATCTCCAGAACTTCTTGGTGAATCAAGGAGCACCACAGATCTGCGACCGGAGAGAAGCCACTTGGGTGCAGTTACATCTAGTACCGTGACTGCCTCCTTGTTCTAGCAGATGACTACAAGTATGGCAGAACTATCTGCCAGATCAGTAGGTGGTTCCCCACATCCCACCTGGAAACGCTCTGGAACCATAGGTGCCTAGGGCAGACCATCTTAATGGGTTTATCACCGCTACAGAGATCGAGGACAGCAGGAATACGCAGCTTGGCTGGAAAGTGGTCTGACTACCGCCAAGGACGGATGGTAAAGTCTTCCAGTTTCAGAACACGTGCCATTTGCTCCAGCATGCATTGCTTTCTTCTGTGTTGCTGGTTAGTACCACTTCACATCTAATTGGCTGGTTCTCCTTCTTCCCAGCTGATCCTTTAAAGGAGACTCATCTCAGGAAGACCCCTGCAGATTCAAAGAATCACAAATTTGGGGCCAGTGTGTCCAAGCTCATCCAGCTTCCCATGGCACACCAGGGCCTCCCCAGCCTGTTTTCCTGAGGCCGTTCCTTCTTCGGTGCATACATCCCTGAGGGTTACCATCTCTGGCTCCCAAAATCTACTGGAAGGTAGCAAAATGAAGCGGAAATCTTTCCTGGCTGCCATCTTGTATAGCCATTTGCATTTTTGCAGCCCAAAGTTGGTAGCCCTACACATCCCTCCACCTCATTTTTATGCTTTGCTATTCATTTTACAATTACTGCAGTTTTTGGTTGCTACTGAGGTTACGTGTGTGTTCCAGTCCAACAGAATTGCTAAGTTTTGTTGTGGGACACTTTTACAATGTTTTCCAACAATTTTGTTCCTAAGAAAAGGAAGTACTTGTAGGTTGAAAATCGGCCATTCTTAAATATCTTTTCTTTGATCCTGGTGTGGGCCTGACAGGCTGTTTGTGTACTGGGAGCTGTTTGTGTCCGTGGGGCCCTGACGGATTAGGAATTTCCTGTGTCGCTCCTGCTTGTTCTGGTTTGATTAGATACGTGACCAGTTAAACGTTGAGCTATAGTACCCTTTGCCTCATTATGGTAGTAAAAAACACACCCCTAGGAGTAAACATGAGACGCTAATGAGCCCCCTTCATGGCTTATTATGGGGTACATAGTTGTAGGACGCGTGTGCATGATGTAACACACCCATGGATTTGTTTTAGCCAATAAGAATTGTGATGAATGTTACCTGCTTAGTGAAATGGATAAAAACCTTTGGACAATGCCCCTTTGCATGCTCAGTTTGGAGTGCACCCCTTCGCTTCTGTATAGAAATAAAGTGTGAAAGCCTTTCCTCGACTCTGTGCGTAATTTGGCCCTCTCTCGCACCGGGTAAAAGTGTGTCCCAAACAGTTGGTCATCCTGCGGCCAACAACAGGACCCTCCCTCCCTCCCTCCCTCCCTCCCTTTGTGTGATGTATTTGTTTTAAGATCTGCAACCCTGCAGAACTCACTGGTAGGTATTCATCTCCCGGGCTTTTTCTTTTTTTGAAAAGAATGACTCCTGCCTGAACATTTCAATCGTAGCAGGTGGTTGTTCAAATGCTTCATACATGCATATAATTCCATTGCCGTTCCTTGGTGCGTGACCCTTGATCGCATTCTCAACATCATATAAAGGCCCCCTTAAGCCGAGCACCACGCCTGGTGACTACATGAAGGCATCAGTGTTGTTCTCCTGGGAATGGTATGGAGGTGGCCTGTCACTGTCTTCCTTAGGGGTGCTTTTTCTTAGTCAAAAAGATTAGGCCTGACCCTGGTTAGTCTGCTAGTTCCTGTTATCTAGTGGGCACAAAAGTCAGCACATATTACATGATAAATGAATTGGTGATCTTGGAACAGTAACTGCATGTGGAGAAATACTGATACCATGGTGGACTCCATATATTGATTCTACCTTGATGGAAGCTTCTAACAAGTAACCTCATCATTCTGACTCAAGAGCAGGGTTGTTCATCATTATCTATATATCGTAGAAAGGTCTGATTATTTCTATTTTGGGGTACTGCATAAGGTATTTCATAAGTGAGGGTTGCAAAATATGACTCTCTCTGCCTTCATCTTTCTTTGTTATTAGAAATCCTGTTGAAGAAGCAACTGGCAGTCACAGACACTACAATTCTTGTACACTGCACACATCTCCAAGTCTTAGCTCCTACTTCTTCTCAAATGACACAAGACTATAAAAAAATCTTTTTCAGAATTCAAAAAAGGGGAATTCCAAAGGAATAAAATAACTATTTTCATTAGCCAATAGCTCTAGAGCACTTAGATAAGTAAAGTAAGGCCAACATTGTGAGAAAGACAAAGGGAAGTATTATTGGTGGTGCGGGGGGGG